CTCAATGACCAACTCCAACACCTGGCTCTGGCTATAGAACTTTGTGCAAATTTCTTAATTCTTTGGGCCTTGGTTTTTTTGTTTGCAAAATGGAGATAATAATACCCATATCTACCTAATCATGTTATTGTTTTAGCAGAGATCAGTTTTAGCAGAGATGTCGGATATAAAATAATTTAGTGCCTGACATGGTAAGTACTCTGTAATGGAACATATTGTTGTTATATTTATTGTTATTGCATGATGCCCTATAGTAAGAGCTTAGGCAATATAAGTGTTGAAGGAAAGGGTGAAGGAGGTCAGGCACTAGTGGACATGGCCCATTACCTCAGTTGTCTCTCACAAATTTGCAGTACAAATTAACTTAATTAGCTACCATAGATCAAGGCCAAAGGGCCGCAAGGTGGCATAAATGATGTTGAACAGACATAGAAAAGTCTGATAATGTGGTAGAGAGGACTTGAAATGTAGGCTGAAATGTTCAGATTTGATATAAAGACAATGGATAAAATGAAAGACTAATGAAGAAGAAGTAGTTTTCAAGAAAGATTAACTTGCCAATCACAATCAACAGGAACAGATGGAAAGAACCGGAATCTAAGAGACCGGTAAATGACAGCCATGTAAAATAATGTTGTCAGATCTAACACAGAGCTCTTCTTTACACTCAGTGATTAATAAATGAATGAGGGTCTAGATAAATGGGGAGTTTGGGGGGAAATGACAATGTTCAAGGTTGGTTAGTTGCCATGAACTGAAATACCCAGACCGTAAGTATGAATGATGAACTCCAGGATGGCATGAGGCATATCATGAAGCACCAAATACTTCCTTATGAAACTATACTTTTCCTTAAGAAAATTACAATTTCTTCACATCGTTAATTTAGTTACTAAGCATAAACATCGTTCACGTAGGGAATCTCCATGGATTTTTAACAATGGAACTTTAATTAAATACATTATGGGAAAGCAAGTGAGAAAAGAGTTAAATCTTTTCCAGGCGTTTCTTGGAAGATTACTCATATTTCTCTAAAGAATTTTTAACATGCCATTTTCTGCCTTGCATATATTTTACAGAAAAGAGTAAATACTGAAAATAGCTAAATGAGAACACAATGGTAAAATTGGATATTTTAAAAGATCTATTTTACTTTATTAAAATAATAAAATACTCACTTTCATCTTGTTACATTCTAATGACTTTCTGAATTAAGATAGAAATCTGAAGGCGAAATGTTTTTGTTTTTTTTTTTAACTATTGTGGTTAAAGTCATGGGAACATTCCATCCCATTCCATTCTTCTTTTTTCCATGCACTAACCTGTAAAGATTTGTTCTTGAAGATCCAAATTAGAATTATTTCCCATAGAAATAATGCTATAAATAAGCAAGTGTACTTGAATTATTATTAATTCTATATACTAGGTGTGTAATTTCCAGGCTAGACTACAAAAGATAGTTCAACTATGATTTACCTATTATATTACAAATTAATTTTGACACACATCAGTTCATAATTTTAGGACTCTCTGAACATTTAAAAATTGGGTTATCAACTACATTTAGGAAATTTCTATCAGAATGACAAGTGGATTTGTAGTAGCAAAATTTATACCTGAACAACACTTGCATGGCAGATTTCTAAAATCATAGATTTGCAGGATGCTAGAGCTAGAGATACCTTCAGAACCACCCAAACCACCTCCTCATTTTACATATAAAGAAACTGAGGCCAATGAGGTAAAACTATTTGCGCAAGATAACTTACTTAATAGACAAGCTAAGACTTAAAACAGTTACCAAATTTTATAAACTTTCTTTTCAACTGAGGATATGTCATTCATTCATTTATTTATTTATTCATTCTTCATTCATGTAGTGAAGAATTATTTGCTGCATTGACACTAATGTGCAGAATCTTCGGCTGGCTGCTGAGAGAATTTAAAGAGAATACAAATTGGCTTTTGCTCTTAACTAACTAAAACTAATTGGGCATAAAGACAGAGCATTAGAAAATTAAATTGCTGCACAAGAGTTACATAAACATAAAAGCTATGTCAGCATACATGATTATATGTGAATTGAGTTATTTAGATAATGTGTTGTGAGTTCAGAGGATGGAGAGCTCAGGGTAAATTTGAGATGTCAGAAAAGCTTTCATAAAAGACAGAATTTATATCCATCCACCTATCTGTCCATTAAAGAGACAGTACTGAGTATCCATCACTTCCTATATAATAAACCAAACCCTGGGAATATAAGGATGAAAGACATTGTCCTTGATCTCTAAGATTCACAGTCTAATAGGGAAGACAAAGAGAAGAGGGCAAGAAACACCAAGAGGCAGAAGATGCACGTAGGGTATTTGTAAATATATGTAAATAGTTGTATTTGATATTTTAAATATAAGAGGGAGGATTGTGATTAGGGAGACAAGAGAATTAGGACACAAAATTTAAGAAAGCACTCATTCTCAAGGTTCTGCAAGTGCACAGGTCATACTTGCACAGACCTGAAAGGGGGTAGTAACCCCTTAAATTTTGCATCCTAGACACCTTATTTGCTTCGCCCCAGTCCTTGCCCATTATCACTACTTAAGCATCATGCAAAGTGATAGAAAAACAAAACCCAGAAAATCTTTAATAGGGTCTGAATAACATCTACCACTAACTACTATGTGATTTGGAGTAAGTTTTTTCATACCTGTAAGTCTCAGTTCCTTCTGCTTAATGAAGGTGTTGACCTAGATTAGTGCTTTTCAGACTACAACCTGCACAGCACATTGAGTCTTCAGAAATAATACAGATAACGAGAGACTGAGTGGGTAGAGCTCTAGATCACCAACCCATGCTTTAATCAGACTAGCAATATTTTATTAGTGTTACATAAGCTGACTCTTATACATTCTTTTTAAAAAAAGTTTTCAATAATTTTTTTAAAACATCAGAGAAATCAAATATCATGTTGACCCTAGATGATCTCTAATACCTTTGACAGTTGTCCATTTGCCTTTTCATGAGGAATCTGGTTTCTACCAAGGACCAGGGAGAACAGTTATAATCACAGTATTAACTAAATAATATCCAAAGGCATTGGTCTCTTGTCCATCCTATGGCAAGTGCATGAGTTTGGTTGTTCCCCACATAAAATGCTAAATGAGTCTTGGTGAGTCAGGTGCAGAAAAAGAAATGAGGGATAAGTCAAAAAACTAGATCCATTTGATATTAATCTAGAGGTATAGTGGGAGTTAACAATCTGTGACTGCTGATGCTGTAGACTTGAAACCAGGAAGTACTGATGCAGTTAAGTTTCATGCCCTTAAAATGATGCCTCGTGACTGTCACAGTACTTTCTATCTCCCCTTCAGAAATACTATTTAGTCAAAATTGGTTACAAATTGTTACACGTGAAGTGTTTGTTAAACAAATTCTGGACTAACTTTGTGATTAACCACTAAATATATTATTTGCTCGATTCTAAGAAGCAAGTTTATGATCTCTAAAGACGTGTGAGTGTTCATAAGCATTCTAAAGAAATAATCAGGAGAAAGGATATAGTGAGAGAAAGGATAAGAAGAAGCACAGTAGTCAGGTTCATGTTTGTGAGGTGGCACTGTTATTTAAGTAGCTATTTAAAATGCAAGTAAAACGCAGAGCCATAATTCTATTGTGTTAAACAAGAGTGGATAACTTCATGCTCCAAATGGGAAATATGCGGTATGACTTTTAGCTTTAAGAACACCAGGGACAAAATCGCTTTGATAATAAACCTTGGCCTTGTACCCAAATTGGGAGAGGTGCTTCACAAACAGGATGAAGAGAAAACAAGCTCCTTAGAGTGTTCACTTAGAGAATATTTACTTCACGTCAGCACTTTGAAGACATCATCTTAGTTAATACAACACTTTTAACTGGAAAGTATCAGTCCTACATATGGATAAAGAAACCAAGTTTCAGAGAAATTAAGTAAGTCGTCCCAGCCATAAAGCTAATAATAAATGGCAGAGTTGATCTTCAAATCCAGGACTAATTCCAAATGAGAGCTTTTTCACTACCATCTCAAGGATGTGAAGGAAGAAGTATGAGAATATGATCATTTTCAGGGTTAGTCCAGCATGCGAGGGTCGTAGTTCTCAAGGAAACACAACATGAGGCAAAGCAAGGGTGTGTTGGGGAAAAAGGTAGAAGCTGTGTAATCCCTTTCAGTTACTTAAGAGTTCTCCAAGTGAAAGGTGAGTGCGTGAGGAGGAGAGGGAGATGAGAATATGATAAAACATGACACACTCAGTTTTCTACAGCTTCTGGAAAGTTAAGGGGCACAGTTGTTTAGGTCACTACTATGTACCTCAGCACCTAGCACGATGCCTCTCTTGTTAAATCAATCAATAAATATCAAATGAAAGTTGAGGAGATGGAGATAGAGTTGGATGTGCCATCCCTAGCCCATGACAAATATGGGCTTTTAATGTACACATATATCTATCATATGTAAATGAAGGTAAAATGTATCCCCTTTTGCTAAAAACAACTATAAATCTTCTGCCTTTATATTTCACAGTCAGTTTTACTCCTGGACTGAGTAGGTAATTTCTCGTTGGATATATTTTCATCCCAGTACTTCTACTGACATGGTAGAGACTCCCCTCCTATATTTGCTTATTTACAGTAAACTTAAATGTAAATGTAACAGGAAATTAGAATGAGAACCTTTCTAACTCAGTTTGAGTGAAGCAATAATCAGACCATCAAAGCAAGAGTGAGACAACCCCCCTCACACACACCACCACCATAAGCAGATTTACAAGTGAAATGGACCTGAGAAATTGTTCCACAGCCCTTGATTCCTTTAATCAGTTAAAAACTACATAAAGAGTTTAGAGAGTGGGCGGGAGTTGGATTGGTGAAGAGAATACTTTGGAGAAGCCAGAGGCTCTGACCCACCCTCCACCTTGGATGAGAGGTGAAAACTTCTAACCACAGCTTAGAGACTACCACTCAGATTGCTCACTTTGGCAGCAGGTATACTAATATTGGAATGATACAGAAAAGGTTAGCATGGCCCCTGCACAAGGATGACATGCAAATTTGTGAAACGTTTCATACTTTTTTTTTTTTTTGCGTCGGTTGCACTGGTGCTGCCACTGTTCCTCTCTAGTTGGTAGAGAGAATCTGGGTATGCACTGTAAAAAAGGCTACCTCTCAGAGAATGGTGTGCCCTAAATTTGGAGACACAGAGTACCAGTGCCTGACTCACACTTGAGAAAGCTCAAAATGGTTCTGCACAGGGGCCTGGTTCCCACCTAGGAAATCTAGACTGTGAGAGAAAGTGCTAACAACCACTTAAGGAGGTAGGAGAGGGCAGATCTTATTACCCATTCCCAGAGTTTTGTGGGCAAAGAATGTGCATTCTCAAGAACCAATGGCTTAGGTTGTATTGGGTCTTACCCGCTAATGCCATCTGCAGTGGACTGAGGTCTTTTGCAGAAAGAAGCTGAGGTAGATATCCCTGGGTTGCCCAGGGGTCGATAAAAGAATATAACAAAATTTCACCTGCTCAGGTATAAGGACTTGTATGAGAGAAAGGCCTAGCAGAGGTATTGGCAGTATGAACTATCAGCCTCAGGTAGAGAGAATGAAGCCAATGAACCTGGTCGATTGCTTGCCTTACCTCTCTTTATGTACCCCACTCACCTCTGACCCTGGTGGGGTCCAAAACTGCAATTCACCTGGTAAGTATAAAGATAATAGAGCAGAAGAACCATACTGAAGACTTCCATCCTGAGGCTGGCCCAGGCTGGAGGAGAGGAGTCCAAAGTTTTGATAATTAAACAAGATTGGACATTCTAGTTACTGAATTGAAACTATTTTTACCAAAAATGACTGGAGGGCTTTTTATTTTCTGAGAGTACTAGAAAGGAAATGCCTGCCTAAGTCGTCATTTAGACTGGCAAAGTATGATTTTCAAAAGATAAATACACAACTCTCGTAGATGCTAGAATACACATGTCAAAATTTATTTAACTCATTGTTGAGAGAGCCAAAAAGGATGTTAATGCTGGTCCAATGAGCATTTGAGAAACTGAATATTTGTGGGGACTGAATGAGGATAGAATATTGGAAGACTCAGAGATTAGAAACTAAAATAGCTAAACTCCTACAGAGCAAGAAAACCATAACCTTTGGGTATTTTTTTATGTGACAGAAATTATTTGCATCTCTCCTGGACAAAACTCTAAAAGTTAACATGCAACATCACCAAGTGTGAGTCATAATCAACAGTAATGAATGGCATATTCCCCTAGAAAATTAAGTAATCTTTGGGTGGGCTTGTGAGACAATACTCTAGTATGACACAGAGAGAACATATAGCCATCCTCTTGCCTTAGTTTCGGATTTTTAGTAATTTTTCTTGACCAGGGGAAATTAGCTCTTTCATACCCCTGGTCAGTTTTAGATGACTATGGGAAACAAAGATAAGGTTATATTTTGATCATGATCTGTGAGATACAGTTGTTCAACATGCTAGATGTATATTTTCAGGCCTGATAAGGTAGCTCATGACTTCTTCTCCTGACCAGAATATAAGAGATCTGGTGATCTAATTCATCATCAGTGCACAAGACTCAGATGGCTGAGCTTGAGGAAAGAAAAAGAAGAGTTGAGATGAATAATCAGGGAACCACTAGAAGGCAAGAGCCTGGAAAAGGCTGATCTCCAAACACAGTGTTTACGATGGTCTCTGGGGATAGAAGTAGGTACAGTTTTGGAGAAGGCAAAAAGACCAAAGACCAAATTTGGCTTATCGTTCAACTTCTGTAGCTAGCATTCTCCAAAGCAAAAATAGGATTTGTTTGTTTTCAACTGTACCCTACATTAAGGTTCTATATTTTTCCAAGTAACCTAAAAGTTTTTCCTTAAAAAGAAAAACAGGAACAACTGCCTACTTGACTAAAACATTGGTAACATACTTAGTTTAACCTAGTTACGGACAGGAAACTTTAATAAAACAACCCAACGTGTTGTAGTCATTGTTCTCGGTAATTTAAGATAGTCAAATGTTCTACAACAATCCAAAACTATGTTTGGTTCCTTGTTACCAACAGGACTGCACAGTCAGTAACTCCCCTACAGAGTGTTCTGACATTATGCAAATGTTTGTGGTGGTCAAGTCAAAGGAACACAGTGGTTGTTTGAGAGGGTGATACTATCTCCTTTGGTCACACATAGTGGTTTTTTTCCTTCTAACAAGAAAAATCGCATACCAGAGCCAGAAGTGCCTTTGTTTTATTTCTGTAAACAAACTGGTCCGCCGAGCATAGGTTTTTTTTTTTGCCAGGCTGTTGTGATTCACGTTCTGTCCTTGAACAAGGCCATGAAGAGTTAACTGCTGCCTATTATGGTCTGCTATCTTCCTGTAATCTAACCCTGGAACTGGGCAGCTGACTAAGCAGTGGAGTCTTTCTAATGGACCCCCATGCTAAAACAAACAAAGAAGTAGGTACGTGTTTCAAAAAAAAAAAGCTTATACTGAGAAAGTGGTGGAATAGCAATTGGAATAATAGAAAACTGAAAGGATGGAAAAACCCTAACTCATATGACAAAAAGAAGAAAATATCTCCAGGAAGGAGTGGGGTGGGAAATAATCTCAGAACAGTGATATTTTTCCAACACCAAGAATGATCAGAAGATAATTTTTGAAGAATTAAAACTTCATTCTTTTTCTGTAAAATCATAGAAAAGTAATCAGTCATACTCGATAAGTGGAAAAATTTTTTTTTAATTTGAAAGAGCAATGGACACTACCACATACAGACTTGATAAAAGAATTTCTTAAAATGACAGGATCTTTTGAAAATCCAGGACTTGTTTGTTTAAAAATTCAGTAAATGTCGGCCAAAAACAAATCTGTCTTTTTTTTCAAAATCCCTTCATCTTTTCACACAGTGTATAATGAGGACTAGCCACTTTTAAGTATAGTAACTCAAGTATTAGAGTTAATATTTGCTCTGATTTTCCATGACCAGAGAATTGATTTGGTGAATAATAGCTTTAACATTTTTTATTTGTCAGTCGCTAACTTTGTACTAATGATGAGAACATTTTTAAAAAAGGGTTAAAAACAAATGTTTTGATTTTCGATAATGTATACTAAAAGATAAAAATCAGAGATCTACAGATACATAAAATCCCTATTACTTACACATGCCTTTGGAAAGAATAAATTGTTACTTCTATTTGAATCTAGTTCAAGTAAGGAATTACAATCTTTCAAAAAAACAAGTGGAACAACACTGAAGCCTCAAGAGGGAATTGTAGTCCAAGTCTCTCATTGCTTCACAGACTTAATTAACTCAGACCAGTAAGGCTGCCTTCTCTCTCCAAGTTTCTTTTTCTAGAAAACACCTTTCATGGAGAGAGATAAGAAGAAAGACTAGGGGATAAGGGGAACTAATTGCTCTGTTTAAAAGGCTTTTCTGGGTAGCTGAGATGGGGTTAAAAGAAAAGGTAATGCAGGTAACTGAATTAAAGTGTGGTACTGGGACACAGTAAATGAACTCCTTGACTTTCAAATCTTTGATGTTCAGCTCCTGCTATGATGCAGAATGTATTCAGAATAAAAAATAAGAAACAAGAAAGGTAGTGAAAAGCCCAGCAGAGGATTTAAAAGTTGTCTGTCATTTTCTCTGTGGAAAATAATGAGTGACATTTTTGTGTTCTTGTGGAAATTGAATTGTAAACTCTCTTTGGTAGAAAGAATGAGGAATGACTATCTTTGATTGCATAGTTGAGGTTTAAGTACTTGCTACTTTGGGGAAAGGGTAGAGGAGTTTCTGGTATATTTAGAGTCTAGAAACAAGCTCTTAATTGCCCTTCACATGGAGAGTTCTCAGTTAAAATGATAGCCACCATTTATTAAATGCCTACTATGTGCCAGGCACACTGTAGGCACTTTAAGTATGTTATTCTAGAATATCTCAAAGATTAAAAAAAAAATTGCAATTTAAAAAATCTGAATTATCCTACAGAATTCCAGTATCTAATACTAATGAGCCTCATTGCTGAAAAACAATAAGTGCTCTGACATCTATAAGTGCTAATTGCTATGAAGCTTCTTCAGATTTCTCATTCTACTACATTTTAGAACAGCCCAAGTTAGTTCTTTAAAAAACTAAGCTGATTTTTAACTGTCATGCCTTATATTCTTTGGTAATTTCTGAAAATATTTTTCTCTCGTTTTCACGAACAATAATATTACTGGGAAAGAAAAAATCAGAGGATAAGATAGTTATTTTCATACAGAAAGCATTCATTAATGGGTGATATTCATGAAAGACCATAATAGGTGTGAAAATTGATTCTAAATTTCAAATTGAAAATTCTGTAACAGACATTTCCCACATATTTATTTATGCTTTAATAAGAAGGCAAAATGCATTAAGTATGGGGCATTCAAAAGACCTTTATATTCAAATTTAGGACACAGTTTTGTTTTCCAGATGTATTAAATAAAATGCTTTTATACATATGAAATCACCTGACTTGTATACAGAGGACATTTATATTAAATATGGTAATTCCTGGACATCAAAAATAGGATATGATGGATACCCATCTAGGTTTATGAACCTTTTACTTCTGTCATCTTTTATTCTAGAAAATACTACTATAATTCCTCTAATTTGGCCTTTAATTGGGACACTTCTGTTATCATTCCTTCTCTGCCATAGTCATTCATTTACTCATTTATTTATTCAACCTTTATTTAATACATATAACGTATAGCTCATAGTGTAGATTCAAAGGGAAAAACACAGTCCCCCTTTAAAAATTATCTTACATTTCAGGAATCAGATAATTTTAACACAATGTGATATGCTATAATTATGGATAGAGTTATGTAAAGGCATTTTAGGAATATAGAGAAGGAAGCTTTTAACTGCTGAAAGGATGTGGGGGATATAAAAAAAAAAAAAGGAGGTAGCCACAGGGTGAGTGGGGACAGGGCAGGAGAAGGGGATTGCAATATTTCAAGCAAAAGAAAGCTTATTCAGAAAAGAGGGTGGGAGAAAAGGACACCAGATTCTAGAAATAAATTATGAGTAAGCC